GACTGTTTGGGATTGCTAGCTATTGGGGGGGGGGAGAACGTGCAGATCTGTTCTCACAGAGGAGGGAGAGCTTGTACCTGAATAAAACTTGTGTCTTAAAGGTGCCACTGGACTATTTTGGACCAGGGGGCCGTGGGGGGTGGCCTCTGCAAATTACCTGGCTGCTTCTTGCTCTGACTGAGGGCTGCTGGGAGTAGGGGGTGGACCTTGTTGCATGTGCCCACCCCCTGGACTCTTTACTGCGGGAGCTCCGCTCCTGTGCGCTCCTGCAGAAAACGACCCCTGCTGCTGGGGACTATCAACCTGGTTCCACCCAAGAGCTGTTCATTTGTGCTGTTGGCAGTGAAGGACGTGTAGGGCTGGCGGCCTCCAGGTGGGGCCTGGAGATCTCCTGGAATTTCAAGTGGTCTCCAGACGACAGAGATCCGCCCCCCCCCCCCAGCAAATGGCTGCTTGGGCGGGGGGACCCCACCGCCGGAGACGCGCCGAGACGCTGCTGAAGTTCCTTCCCTCCGCAAACCCTGCCTTCGCCAGGCTCCAATCCCCAAACGTCCAGCAACTGCCCAACCTGGAGCTGGCAACACTAAGGACGGAGGGACAGAGTCACCCTCACTCACCTCCCAAAAACTGGTTCAGCATCCGCACGTAGCCCTCCCAGAGTTCTGTGTTGCTCACGTTGTAGGTGATGTCCAGCGCGTCCGTCTTAGGGCGGATCATCATGCCTGGGTGGGAGGAAACAGAAAGGAAGCGATCGGAATTGGGCAGCGGCTCGATCCGGCCCCACCTAGGAAGACAACGGCCATTTTAGGCCCCCGCCCTGCCTCTCCAAAACCCCACAGAGACAAAACCGCCACTTCATGGCCAGTTCACACAGGCATGGATGCACCCCTCTGGAGCATCCAGAGAGCCACTTTGGTGTCGCGGTTAAGTGCACGGACTCTAATCTGGGAGAACCGGGTGTGATTCCCCACTCCTCCACTTGCACCTGCTGATGTGACCTTGGGTCTGTCACAAGCTCTGACAAGAGCTGTTCTTGAAAAAGAGCCGTTTCTGTCAGAGTTCTCTCAGCCCCACCTACCTCACAGGGTGTCTGTTGTGGGGAGGGGAAGGGAAAGGAGTTTGTAAGCCTCTCTGAGACTCCTTTGGGTAGTGAAGGGCCATGGGGTATAAATCCAATCTCTTCTTCTTCCTCTTCAATGTGGAAACAGCCTCGGAGAAAGCCGTTTTATGCCACAGTCTTTTTAAAAAAATCATGTTTTATAGTTTCAGAGGGTAGCCAAGTTGGCCTGCAGTGGAAGTGCTGGGTTCGAGTCTAGCCACACCTGAGAGACCGACAAAATTTTGGAGGGATGAGCTTCCGAAGCTCTGGTAAGGAACTGACGAATGGAGCTTTGACTCTAGAAAAACTGATAGTAAAGGTAACGGTTTCCCTTGCTCAAAAGCCAGTCGAATCCGACTCTAGGGGGCGGTGCTCATCTCCGTTTCCAAGCCGAAGAGCCGGCGTTGTCCGAAGACATTTCCATGGTCACGTGACCAGCATGACCAGATGCCAAGGCGCACGGAATGCTGTTCCCTTCCCACCAAAGCGGTACCTATTTATCTACTTGCAATTTCTTGCTTTCAAACTGCTAGGTTGGCAGGAGCCGGGGCCAGAGACGGGAGCTCACTCTGTCATGTGGCTCTCGGGTCTCGAACTGCCGAACTACAGACCTTCCGGCCTGCAGTTCAGCGTCTTAACCACTGAGCCACTGTAGCCCCTAGAAAAACTTATACCCCCCCAAAAAAAATCTTGTCTGTCTCGAAGGTGCTCCTGGAGTCAACCCTAGCTGTTCTACCAAGTCTTATGTTTTTATCTTTATGTTTTATCTTTGTCAGTTGCCTCAAGCACTGGAGAGGCAGCGCAGGAATTAAATTTAAATAAGTAACAAAGCAAATCGCCTTTCTCCCAACTATCTTTGGAACCGTATTCCCAATGAGCTGGCAGACCCAAAGCTATTTCAGGGTATTTTGTGGCCCCATGCAATGTTCCCTCTAAGCTGAGTTAGTGTGAGCTAGCTCACAGTTTCTTAGCCTCCGGCTCACCCATTTTTGTCTTCGCTCAGGAAGGAGGGCTCCAGAGCAAACTAAT